GATGGTTAATATTAGGACACGTTTAATTTAGCATGCCTTATGCAATGCATGCGTGCATCATTCATCAGTATTGCATGCACCGGGCTCGGCGCATCATGCTAACTGCATAGTATTTCAGATCTAACTTGAATACATGCTATCTGTGCATTTCACATGTCATCCTTAGATTAGCCGAGCCTATTTTAGTGACATTCTGTATGCGATGCATTAGGCACTTAACATGGACTTGGATCATACATTGATTGCTAACACGTTCTTGTTTTGGCTCGGAGTACATTGTAAGTATATATGCTTTAGCATTTCGCATGCGTATGAATGTTAACATGACAGCATGCTTACCATGTGGCTAGATGCTTATGTGTTATAAACTGTCTGAATGCCTATGGGTGAAGGTTGGATTGTTTGAGTTGGAACAACTCGTCAAAATCCGTATTTTAACCTACTTGCGAGTAGCAAACCTCAAAACATTTTTCGAAACAAACGGATATGTAATGCTTTGTTCCAAATTAGACGATCTAGTCTATACTTGTGTGTTGTGCGCATCACCTAGTAAATTCTAGCTAATTAACCGGAATAAGAACTCATAATGTTTTCAAAATCGGGTATCATGGTTAGTAAAGGCCGATCTTCGGATCGGGCGAGAGGGGGTGCTCATAGCTGACCTTCCCCAATCGTACCCAAGTTCCCGAGCCGAGGCAACTTTGGTGATGACGGACATGTGGCCTTTGGCACTGAGTCAGGGTTTCCTAAATTCCCCCATTAAAAAATATTTAGGTGGCGACTCTGTATCTGGCAAAGCAGTCCATGTTTGGCACTTCTTTTCTAAAAGTCTGTTTTCTCAAAACGATTTGCCGGATTTGGACTTTTTGGTTCAGATTAAGAACCGTGACAAAAGGGAAGTCCGAACTATAGCACGAAGGCCTCACGCGGGCGCGTCTACACATATACGAAATATCATAGATCATACTTGTCAGTTCCATAGAGGAACCTCCGGCCGGGTACGAATAACTTGCCAGTTCCATAAAGGAACCTCCAGACTGGGTACGGATAACTTGTCAGTTCCATAAAGGAACCTCCAGTCGGGTACAGATAACTTGCCAGTTCCATAAAGGAACCTCCGGATTGGGTACGAATAACTTGTCAGTTCCATAAAGGAACCTCCAGCCGGGCACAGATAACTTGTCAGTTCAATTAAGGAACTCCGGTCCCGGTACAGATAGTATACTTGAATCACAGCATAAATACCACAAATATTTATCAGAGTTGGACAATCATTCATAGTACAAAACATAGCATTTCATAGAACAGATCTTATTCCATATACAGAAAATAATTTAACTTAAACATAACTTTACTAAGTTATTACTCATAAATAACCAGTGGCTCCAAATAGACAAGTAGAGTAGGCAATTCACTTAACTTGAGGTGCGTGACCTACATAACATGACAGATACATACATTGAAACAAACGCTCGGATTATACATAACTTATTTCATTTGTCCTTAGTGTATTTCTAGCCCTTATTTTTATTATAGTGTTTTAATCTTGGCCTAAGAATGCCTCGGATAGAATAAGGATGCAAAAATGTACTTGAAAACATTTTTCAAAACTTGCTAGAAACAGGGTCTACGCTTGAGCGTGGCTTTCCTCGCTCGAGTGGACATGCAAAATGTGAGGGTCCGCTCGAGCACAACTTCCTTCGCTCGAGCGGTCTGCAAACTTTGAAAAAGTACTGGTTGCTTGTTTTTCCCGCTCGACACTCGCTCGAACGTAAGAGACATGCCCTTGCTCAAGCGCACCTTTTTTTACTCGAGCGTGCTACAAAACATAAGAACTTCTGGGAGCATGCATTTCACGCTTGAGCCAGCCTTTGGTTACTCGAGAGGAAGTGTGAGACACAGAGTGGTCGCTCGAACATGGAATTCGTCGCTCGAGCGTGGAAGCAGAATTCTAGAATTTCCAGAATTGCTTCCAAGCTTCAAAACTCAATCTTAAAACATCAAAGCTCGATTTTTCTGGGCCAAAACTTGAGGAAACATTGAGAAACTTATAAAACACCATGAATTAATGATCCTTTCAAGAAATCATGGCCCAATAGCTTGCCAATTGTGCAAAAATTCAACTTAAAATTTATGAATATTCTATGAACATGACATGCATGAATTCCTTTGAACTCAATCTTCTCAAAACATGATCAAATGTTACAAAACAACATGAAACTTGATGATTTCCCAAAATTAGGGTGAATTCAAGACATGCATGAGGGCATTCTTGGAATTTAAACTCAAAATGCATGAATTATGCATGCATGCATGAATTACTCTTTCATTCTACATTCTTAATTTAATTCTCATGCTCAAACCTCTAATTCCCTTGAATTCTTGCACTAATAATTCAATTTCATAATTAAAGAGTTAAATTTCCTACCTCAAGTCTTGAGTTAGCTAATGTTGAAGCTAAACTTCTTCAATTCCCTTCAATCTCTCCTAATTCCTTCTTAATTCTCTTCTTCCTTAAATGTCTAGCTTCAATCTCTCCCTTCTCCTTCTCTCTCACGTTTTACTTGCTTGGATGAGTTCAAATATGTTCAATTAAAAGAAGAGAAACGAAAGCATGTGAGAAGCCTTATATAGGCTCATTTGAGGGTAATTAATTAAAGTTAAATAAGTGGGCATTAAATTAATCCATTTTCATAGTCTTGAATCGAATTTCAATTAAACCTACCACAAAATTCCATAAATTCCACATAACACATATATCAAATAAATTTCTGAATCAGATGCCGATAGGGCCTTCAAATTGCGAACCGAAACTAAAACATGAACAGATCTTTCTACGCTAAATAGATATAAACACTATAACGCAACACACACATGAAAATTAATTCAGAATTTCTCCTTAATTACTGTTTAGGCACAATTAATCATGGATTAATGTTAATCATGGGTCGGGGTTGTTACACTGACGCTAAGGATGAAGCCGGGGTTGAGGTCGCTCAAGGGGTAAGCCCCCAACACTGAATGATCAAGTCCTGGACTTGACTAAGGAAGAGGGGAATGAGGTCTCTAAAAGCACCTCGCTGAGGAAAGTTGACACCTCTGATGTCGAGGTCGCTGCTGCAGAGAGAAGCTTGGATCAGACTCTCCAAGAGATTGACGCCAAGGTCGTACAAGAAGCTAAAGCCGAGAAGAGTGAAAACATCTAGTACTTAGGAATTTTTCTTTCCTTTGATTGTACTTGTGCATATATATATTTTGTATAAACTGTCACATTACTATTCTAGTATGAGAATGAGTGTTCATGATTATAGCTATCTGTATGTTGTTATTGTTGAGGGCCATGTTGAGATCCCTACTGGACTATATGTTCATCCCACGTTGTTGAATCTTTTTCAGGTATTAAGCAGGTTGAGCTGCAAGATTTGGATCTACTTATTTATTGGCCACGGGGCCTATGTTTTGTTGGCGGAATGCCATTGTTGTAAAAGGGTTACACCCTTCGTCTTGTACCATAAGTGATGTAAGCCCAAGGGCAATTTATTAAGTATGTTCATGTAATATTTACTTTGTATACGAATGAGAGCATTGTTAATCACTTCTACAGATTGAATGTATGAGTTTATTTCCGCATGTTATCCTTGAAATTGAATTAAGTTAATGAATTTGGTAATGACTTCGAGTAATAAAAATGGGTGTGACAGCAAATGTCTGTTAAATCTGACTCAAACAAGCATTTTTTTGGATTCAAAAAGAAAGAAAACCCAGATCAAAGTCTAAAGTGTAAACCTCTTTGAACATAAGAATTTTGGGGATGATTCTGTGCGAGAACAAACAACAAACACCAAAGCTACAAAATCAAGGTAAGAGTTGTAGCCAATATGAATCGGCGGCGTCTAGTGGCGGTGGGGCGGCGTTGGGCGACGACGGCTTCTTTCTTCTTCCTCAGCTCTCTTTTCTCCTCCTCCCTTTCAATTCGCAAACTCTGTAATTTTTTATTTTTTTAAATTTTTTTTTTTGGGTCTGGCTCACCAAAATGATGTTTTGACGAGGGATTAACTCAACCATTAGTTCGATTAATGGGACACGTGTTGCGCTATAAAAGATCACTCTAGAGGATCCGGATGCTAATTCTTGATGTTTTTTAATACTTTTTCGAGAAAAACAAAAATGATAACATCTGCAGCTGCAGATACTTTCAAGAAACTAGTTCTGAATCTTGGAAATGCTAGAGGTACTTCCCCTGAAATAAACCCTACTGTGTTAGGAATGACAATTAGGGTACTTCTGATGAGATTTTTTCAATGTTTGCAAAGAAGGGAATTTGATTTAGATAATTTGAAAGAAAAAATAAAGCATTTTCTAATCTAGTCTAATACACTTGCACAACTTACATTTTATTTTTAAGCTCATTACTAATATTTTTTGGATTGTAACTAACATTTTAAATTTAAATATCATTTTTTTTGTTAATCCTAAAAAATTATTTACAAACATAAATAGAATTATATGAAATTGAACCACTAGAGCCATTTATTTTACTAAGTTCTTTCATTACAAGTTTTTATTAGTATAAGAATTATAATATTATATTACCAAAATTTTTTTAATCATTTTAAATTTTTAAAATTTGATGACTTTTGCAAATTTGTTTTGAATGGTTTAGTGGAAATCTTTCATACAATATTCGTTGTAAAATTTAAAAAAATAAAATAAAATTTCACTGTATTAATTTTCATTAGAAGTGAAATTTCTCTATCTCTGGGTGAACAGTACTCTTTTCAATTTTGCATATTTAACAATGGAATAAAATATTACCAAAATTTTTTTAATCATTTAAAATTTTTAAAATTTGATGACTTTCACAAATTTGTTTTGAATGGTTTAGTGGAAATCTTTCCTACATTATTCGTTGTAAAATTTAAAAAAATAAAATAAAATTTCACTGTATTAATTTTCATTAGAAGTGAAATTTCTCTATCTCTGGGTGAACAGTACTCTTTTCAATTTTGCATATTTAACAGTGGAATAAAAATTCCTGGATCGATCTCTCTCTCTCTCTCTCTCTCTCTCTTGTTTCAAGCAGATTGCAGTGTAATAATCATCACCAAAACCTTCATTCAATGGCAAACTATTATCACGCACAATTCATCTAAAAAAACCCTAACTCGATAAACCCTAGTCTCTGCAAACATGTATTCATTATCAACGACGAGCAGAGTCGATGTTTTCATATCACCTCGGAGTTTTCATCCTCATTCCTCCATTAGTCGCCGTAGTTATTCACATTCCATCTCATTCCCCTTTCGTACCCATTCAAATCGCTTGAATTTCACTCGAATCATCAGGAAAAACCCACCTCTCATTCATCGATCCTATGCGATTTTTCAAAAATCGGATTCCAAGTCTTCTTCTCAATCTGATAATGCTAGTAGTACTGACACTGAAAACGATTTTGTTACTAGGGTTTTGAAAGAAAACCCTAGTCAAGTAGAACCCAAGTTCTTGATTGGCAATAAACTGTATACACTGAAAGAGAAAGAGGATTTGGAGAAGAAAAGTTCTGATGCTGGGATTGCTGAGATTTTGAAGAAGTTGAGATTGATGGTGGGGAAGGAGAAGAAGAGGGAAGAGGGAGGAGTTGAGAGTGGAGTGAAGTCTGAGGATGTGTATTTGAAGGATATTTTGAGGGAGCATAGAGGGAAGCTGTATGTTCCTGAGCAAATTTTCGCGGCCAATTTGTCCGAAGAAGAGGAATTTGATAGGGATTTCGAGAGCTTGCCGAAGTTGAACTTGGAAGATTTTCAAAAGTACATGAAGAGTGATAAGGTTAAGTTGTTGACTCTGAAGGAGGACACTGGTGTGCCATATGGTTTTAGGGATTTCATTGTGGAATTGAAAGAAATTCCAGGTGGCAAGAACTTGCAGAGAACCAAATGGTGAATATGCAGTTGTCTGATTTATTTTTTTAATATTCATAGTGAATTTTTATTTTTTTATGTAGTTCTTTGATGTTTTTGAATATCTCGGTAGGGCGATGAAGTTGGATGTGAGCCAAGCACAAGCTGTTTTGGAGGAGTATACAGGGCTGCGAAAAGAAATAGAGAAGCAAACTATGGTATTCATTTATGTTCTTTGTTTTGCTTTTCCTAGTTTCTTTAGAAAACATGTGCAATGTCGTAGTAGGAGGATGTTTACACGGATGGGTTGCAATACGGGAAAACTAAGATAATAAATGAATACATGTACAAGAATCTAGGCATGGCACTGATTATGGACAGAGTAAGGGTAAGTTGAGTACGATGGTTCTGCGATATGCAACAATGACCAATGAGTGCACAAGTAAAGGAGATATTTTACTAAGTTGAAGGTTCTGAAGACACAAGAGGAAAGCCAAACAGGAGTGTCAATATTGATGTTACCAGGATCTATGCATTCTCATGTTAGCTACGAATCAAAAGTTAGATAATGTTCTAAAAAAAATATAATTTGTGCCCTTTATCTCCTTAGCTACTTTGTAAATTATTTGTATTGCATGTTTTAATTTATTACACAAATGTTTAGAACTTTTGCACTTGTCATTAGAAGAGTTGTAACACTCTTTGAGACTTGCCCTAGTGGAGTTGGATTTCCCGTTTCTCTTACAGCTGAATCTTGTCTGCAGTCTTGGGTGGGAAAATTGCCTGAGTATCCTCATCCAGTGGCATCTTCAATATCAAGCAGAATGATGGTGGAACTTGGAATGCTGACTGCTGTGATGGCTACAGCTGCTGTTGTTGTTGGAGGCCTTCTGGCTTCAGCGGTGTTTGCCATGACGAGTTTCGTCTTTGCAATGGCTGTATATGTTGTATGGCCCATGGCCAAACCATTTCTTAAGCTTTTTCTTGGTCTCATCTTCAGTGTTTTAGAAAGAGTCTGGGATAATTTTGTTGAAATTTTCAGCGATGGAGGGATTTTCTCCAAATTGTATGAAGTCTACACTTTTGGCGGTGTGTCTTCCAGTCTTGAAATGCTAAAACCAATCATGCTGGTATTTTTGACTATGGTTCTTCTTGTCCGTTTTACTCTTTCAAGAAGACCTAAGAACTTCAGGAAATGGGTGAGCTTTACTCCCTATAAATTTAATCTTATTGTAATGTGTTATGGGCTCGAGTATTTCTAGCAGTTGCTGTATGTTTTATTCATTATGCAGGATATATGGCAAGGCATCGAATTCTCTCAATCTAAACCACAAGCTCGTGTTGATGTTAGTCTCTATTCATTGCTTGCTGTACCCACACCCCCGCCCCCCCCACCCACCCCCCCGATAGTATATTACTTAGTGTACTTACTTCTTCAATCTTCTTCCAGCTATAGATGACATTCTTCGATTTATGCTCTTCAGTTTTGTTTTATTTTGTGATGTTTCTTCAGGGTTCAACTGGAGTTACATTTAATGATGTGGCAGGGATTGAGGAGCAGTAGAAGAGCTCCAAGAGGTTAGGATTTTTTTTATTTTTTAGTGTTTAATTTGTCTTGAGTTTATGTTTCCTTGCATCTTATGTATGTTTGATTTGATTAGTGCCCAAAGAGATGTAATGTGTTGTTGTTTTTCTTTTAAAGCATTAAAAATCTTCAGAGTCTGTTTGAAAGCCATTTAAAGAAAAAAATTTATTTTCCGTTCATGTCAAGCTACTGGACAGTTCATGGGGCAACATTTTAGTTTCTACTATGTATACATTATAGAAGGTTGAAGAATTAATTTACTACCTTTGGAGCATTGTCAAAGGCTTCTGGATCATGTTGATTTAAGTGTTATTTCTCTACCATTCTTTTATCGTCGTATATATTCTTTTCTGTATTGATAATTTTTTTGTGTTGAAGTCTTTAGCTATTCATCTTTTCTAATGCTTCAATTTTATTTTCATGAATGACATTTGCTCTTGTGCCTGGTTTTTGGAGTTTCCACTCTATCAACCTTGTAAAGCTAATTAATTTCTCATTACATTCTGCCAATTAGTTGGTGAAATATTTGAAAAATCCAGGCTATTTGATAAAATGGGGATAAAGCCTCCACATGGAGTCTTACTGGAGGGCTCTCCTGGATGTGGGAAGGTTGGTAATATTCTTGAATGAGTACTGCAAAATTTTGGCAGTAAAAATTTTTTTATAGTGTTGAAACTAGAAAGTGCTGCTTTTTAGACCTTGGTTTGCGAAGGCCATAGCTGGTGAACTGGTGTTCCATTTTACCAAATGGCCGGATCAGAATTTGTTGAAGTTTTAGTGGGTGTTGGTTCTGCTCGTATCAGGGATTTGTTTCAAGAGAGCTAAGGTGATAATACTCCCTGCATAGTTTGCTTTAACTGTGGGTTTGATAATTATCATGACTCATTTCGCAAATGGCGATTACTAATTTGGTCCGCATTTTGTGCACCAAGAGTAAGTCTTGCATTAATTTGTAAGTACCATGCAATTTGACAACATTGGCACTCCCTATAGTAATTGACATCATTGGGTAAGAGAATGTTTCTATTTTAGTTGGGTAAATGCTCATGTTTAACTATACTTATATTTATGAATAAAAAATAAAAATGTTGCTCTTTTTAATATATATATGTAGCTTCATATGGCTGTTATTGTTTTCTCCTAACCAGTGAAAAAAGTTTAGCTTTCTCATTGTCCTAAACATTATCATTATGTCTGAGATAGGCTTCTAGTATTCTGTTCTGTGGTTGAAACTGTTTACAAGAGATAATCTGATGCATGAAGTATTGAAACTTTTATGTATTCCAATTGTTGGGTTTAAATTAAAATGTGCGTAGAAAAATGTAAACGGTAATTCTTATTGTTAGAAATTTTGTAAAAACAACACAAGTAGACACACATTACTTAGTTCTATGAAATCTGGTTCAAACTTTCTCAAATAATCAAATGAAATAAAATTTGTTATTCCCTTGAACTTGTTCATAGCACTTGTTTCCTCATATATGTCTCCTTGTGCATGGCTTCCAAATGATATTACAAATCTAGAGAAGGTGTTCTCTCATTTGGATCCCCAAAGAAGAAAGGTTATTTTTTATATGGAGTTGTAACAATATGGTATTGAAATTAGGCATATAAGATTATTACTTCGGATCAAGGGTTAAATTCCAGCATGTCACAGTTGAGGTTGTGGGCTCAAAGTTAAGGTCAGACACTTTGTGCAAATATTGCCAAAAGTTAAGTCTTATCCAATCTACCCGTCCCTAACCCCATCCAATGGGTACTGAACTGGCGTACATTTTTACTTTGTTGAAAGGTTTGTTGGGGGTTTTAAATGTAGCCCCGATATTTTTCATGGTGAATGATCGCTGATAAGTATGGTATGGGAGTTTAAACTGTGCACTTGGACTTTTTGTTATCCTCGCGAATCTTATTCATATGATAGATTGTTTAAAATTGCTTTAATTAACTCTGTTTGATTGCCCATTAACTATGTTCCAGTCATTTTCCATTTTGTGGTCTTTTTGTCAACAGTAGATTATCTAAGAAAAGAATACTATATTATTTTTTTCCCTTCTATCTACATTTAAATGAGATATAAGGAGATTATTAGAATTCTTTGATGCATAAGCTGTTCGGTAATTGATATACTTAATTTTGAAGTCATTATTTAAGATTACCTAGATTTCCCTGCAGGTAAACAACCATCAGTAATTTTTATTGATGAAATTGATGCATTAGCTACAAGGTATGGGTGTTCCTGTCAGTATCTTCTTACATCTCTACTTAAATTGATATGTGATCTTGTTTCTTAATTGATTTCTCATCCATCATTTCCATGTAATGAGGATATTATTTGTTATACACACACACATGTAGAAGCAAATATGTTCCTAGGAAATATGCTTCTACACACACATTCAAAGTTCCATCTAATTATTTCCTTTCTGCCTTTATTGCATATCCTTAAATTTATAAACATTTGCTAAACCCTAAAGATTGGCCATATGTCCAATACCCCTTTGACGAACTCATCTTAAGACATCAAATATTGGCTTCTTTGCACTTGTCTAATACAAGCAATCAGAGGATGGATGATATGGAGTGGTTTTTTTCAGTGTGTTATCTGACTTGACATGTACTTTCAAAATTGAAGTTAATTTGTATGATTCAGTTACAACTATCTTGTTTGCATTAGTGACAGAAAATTATGGCAATCATAAACATGTGTTTTATATACAAGTATTTAGAATAAAATTGGTAAAGTGGATGAGAGGCTGGACAAGAAACAAGAGAATAAGAAATGAATATATTCTTGAGATGTTGGTGGCCTTACGCATTTGAGAATACCTGTGATACTTTTGGCTGAGAAAGTTAGTATGTGCAGATAGCGTATTCACTATGGCATTAACAGGTACATGGTATGGTTTTTTGGAATTCTAAAAGAGAAGAAATGGTAAAGGGTTATGCGTTGAGTTAGGAAGAACAAGAAATAATCGTGGCTCTGACTCATTGAATGGAAAGTTTCCTCTATCAGGTAAATAACAAAATGGATTCATGTTGATTACTTCAGGATACTTGATCTTCCTAGTTTTTTTTTAACTTATGATATTTTATTATCATTTCTTGCTTTTTTGTTTTAAGTTTTAAATTGCAACATGGTTTATCCAGCACACTTGGCGTATACTCATTTCTGAGCACTGTTTTTAACACTCTGCATATGGATAACAAGAATGACTTCAGTTTATCTTTTTCTTATTATTAGGCGTCAAGGAATATT